TCCAGAAAAATAAATGACCCAATCAAAAAATGGGCCAAAGAACTAAACAGACATTTCTCCAAAGAAGACATACAGATGGCTAACAAACACATGAAAAGGTGCTCAACATCACTCATTAGCAGAGAAATGCAAATCAAAACCACAATGAGGTACCATCTCATGCTGGTCAGAATGGCTGCTATCAAAAAGTCTACAAACAATAAATTCTGGATAGGGTGTGGAGAAAAAAAAACCTTCTTACACTTTGGTGGGAACGAAAACTATTACAGCCATTATGGAGAACATTGTGGAGATGCCTTAAAAAACTGGAAATAGAACTGCCATACGCCCCAGCAATCCCACTGCTGGGCATATACACCAAGGAAACCAGAATTGAAAGAGACACATGTACCCCAATGTTCATCACAGCACTGTTTACAATAGCCTGGACATGGAAGCAACCTAGATCTTCATAGGCAGACGAATGGATAAAAAAGCTGTGGTACATATACACAATGGAATATTACTCAGCTATTAAAAAGAATGCATTTGAATCAGTTTTAATGAGGTGGATGAAACTGGAGCCTATTATACAGAGCAAAGTAAGTCAAAAAGAAAAATACCAATACAGTATATTAAATCATATATATGGAATTTAGAAAGGTGGTAATGATGACCCTATATGCGAGACAGCGAGAGACATAGATGTAAAGAAGAGACTTTTGGACTCTGGGAGAAGGCGAGGGTGGGATGATCTGAGAGAATAGTATTGTAACATGTATATTACTGTATGTGAAATAGATCACCAGTCCAGGTTCAATGCATGAGACAGGGTGCTCAGGGCTGGTGCACCAGGATGACCCTGAGGGATGGGATGGGACGGAGGTGGGACAGAGTTTCAGGATGGGGAACACATGTACACCCATGGCTGATTCATGTGACTGTATGGTGTATGGCAAAAAAACCACCACAATATTTTAAAGTAATTAGCCTCCAAATAAAATTAAAAAAACAAACAAAACATATGGGTGCTATGATCAATGCCATTTTGTTTAATGTTTTTCTTATTTTTCAAAACATGATTATAAGCCCCTTCTATGTGAGGATAATCATTTCTTATGCTACTCTTGTATTTCTCAGAGAACCTAATTAAGTTTATTTTAGACTTATTAGATTTATGAAACTTAAGTTTACTCTAGAACTATACTGTTTATAATTCTACAGAGCATTCACAGGTACTTTTCAGTACTACTTTTAAAATTTTTACTGTAATCTTATTTCAGGTATGTTATCCTTTTTCAAAGAGTACAATTCTGTTTCAAAAAAACAAAGTTGAAACTTTACCTACATATTATAAAATTAATATTTATGTCCCTCCAAAATTCGTATTTTGAAGGCCTAACCTTCCAATGTTATCACATTAGGAGGTGGAGCTTTGGGGAGGTAATGATGCTTAGATGAGGTCATGAGAGTAGGCCCCCCCTCTAGGATTCTGCTTGTGTGCTAAGTCACTTTAGTTGTGTCTGACCCTGTGACGCTATAGACTATAGTCCACCAGGCTTCTATGTCCATGGGATTCTCCAGGCAAGAATGCCAGAGTGGGTTGCCAGGCTCTCTTCCATGGGATCTTCCCAACCCAGGTATCGATCCTGAGCCTCTTATGTCTCCTGCGATTAGTGCCCTCATACAAAAAAGAAGGGATACCAGAGCTTCCTCTGTCTCACCAGGAAGAGGGCCCTCACCAAGAACTGAATCTTCCAGCAACTTGATGTTGTGCTTCCCAGTTTCTAGAACTGTAAGAAGTAAATATCTACTGTTAAAGTCACCAGTATGTGGCATTTTATTACAGCAGCACAAGTAGACTAAGACAGGAATTGGGAGCAAGAACTGGTGTCTCTTGTAACAAATACCTAAAAATGCAGAAACAGCTTTGGACTGGGCCATTGGTAGAGGCTGAAAGAGTTTTGAGGTATATGCTCGAAAAAGTCAAGATTGCCATGAAAATAACTTCAAAGGGCAACTCTGGTGAGGACTCAGGGAGAAAAAAGGAGAGCTGGAAAGAAAGTTTCCATCTTTTTAGAGAACACATAAATAATCATGAACAGAATGTTGGTATAAATATGGATGATAAAGGCCATTCTGTTGGGGTGTCAGACAAAGTAAGGAACATATTGGCCAAGGGAGAGAAGACAATCCTCGTTATAAAATGGTAAAGAACTTGACTGAATTGTGTTGATGTTCTAGTATTTTGTAGAAGGTAGAACTTGTGCATGATGAAACAGGATATTTAGCTAAGAAATCTGATGTCTTTGGGAGATATTTAAGCAAAGTGTGAAAGGAACAGCATGGTTTCATCTAAATGCTTAAGGTAAAAAAGCAAGAAGTAAAAAATCAATTGAAGAAAGAACTGTTTAACAAAAAGGAACCAGAACTTAAGGATTTGGAAGACTCTTAGTCTATCCACATATGGAAAAAAAAAAAAAAAGAGAAAGGCTGTTTAGACGTGAACACTAGGGTGTGGTTGATCTACTATTTAATGAGGATATTAGTGTGGATATGAAACAGAAACCTAATCAGCTCTCTGATCAGAAGCCAGGGATACAGATGTATACATTATGGACATGAATATGAAGCTATGGATACTGTAATATACCAGCAGAAACTGCCAGCTGGGACTAATGGAAACAAAACTGGATGGATTGAAGGCAGGCTGTGAACATGTACATTCTTCCCATCAAGAAAAGAGAATGATGTGGGTGATACAAAGACATCAGGGCTGCCACCCCTACTGTAGGCCCAAATGACAGAGCCAGTTCCTCCTGAGTTTCAAAGGGTGGGACCACCTCTCAGGTTTTGGGGGACAGGCATGCAGGATGCCCCCACCCAGTGCCTCAGGAGAAGCCACGACAGGGAGTCCTATGAGTGGGGCTGCAGCAGAGAGCCATGTGGGCAGGCAGTGCACTGTGAAGCTGAAGAGGCAAGGCCACCTTGTGGAATTCTGAGGGTGATGGTGCCACTCTTGTGGCCCTGGAGTGCAGAGCATCAGTCCAAAGAGGAATATTCTTGAGCATTAGGAACTTACAGAATTGTTTTTCCTATGTTTTAGACTTACGTGTGGTCTGTCACCCCTTCCTCCTTTGCTATTTCCCCTTTTCGAATGGGAATACCTATCCTATAGCTGTCACACCACTGTATTTTGGAAGCATATAACTAGTCTGGATTCACAGATTCATAGTTGGAGAGCTTGGCCTCAGACCTTGAGTATTATTTGATTTAGATGATGAGACTTTGAACTTTACAATATATGCTGAAGAGTTGACATTGGGACTATATAAGTTACATTGGGTCTGTTCAGATGGAATGAATATATTTTGCATGTGAGAAAGACACACATTTTGAGAGTCCAAGGGTGTAATGATATGGGCTAAATGATTGTGTCCCTACAAAATATATATAACGAAATTCTACACCCCCTGATATCATGGTATTAGGACATTGGGCCTTCAGGAGGCAATTAGGTTTAGATGAGTTTATGACAGTGAAGCCCCCATGATGGGATTCATGACCTTGTAAGAAGAGGCAGAGACACTAGAGTTTCTCTTTCCACTATGTGAGGAGAGCAATACTATTTGTTGCTGTTCAGTCATGTCCAACTCTTTGCAATCCCATGGACTTCATCATGCCAGGCTTCCCTGTCCTTCACTATCTCCCAGAGTTTGCTCAAATTCACGGCCATTGAGTCAATGATGCCATCCGACCATGGCATCCTCTGTTGCCCGCTTTTCCTCCTGCCTTCAATCTTTCCCACAATCACTTTTCCCTATTTTAATTAAGAAAAGTAACAATATAATTAAAGAGACTTATCTAAGAAATAACAATGAATATTATGCTTAAGATGTAAACATTAGAAAGACCAAATACAGATGTTAGTAGAAACTACTGTTTTTGTTTAATAATATCAATAGCTAAAGAATACATACAGCCAGTTTTTGAAGACTTGATAACATTTCACTTTGATCCTTAAAGCCAGTTGTGGGAATCTTGTTCACTGCATCTTCTTTATCTGAAAGCCATGTACTAAAAAGGCACTGAAAGAAACCAAATAATTTCAAAAGATAAAGAAGAATAATTATTAAAGTACATGATAGTTTTTTATGTACCTATTTAACATCTCTCCACATCTTTCACTGATACATTATCCCCCATGTGACTCACCTGCTCTTCAGTAAAACGTTGCCATTTTAGAAGAACATCCTGTAAAAGAACCCAGCGATCTTCAGTCCACCTACAGATGTTTGCCCACCGATCTCCCAGTACCTGTAGAAGAGAAAACCCACCACAACATCAGCAAATGCTTACCTGTTAACTGAATTTTATTAAAAAATGGCATGAATGATTTGTAAAAGTATCTAACTTTGAGTCTCTTATGTATACTAGTTGTAAAGAGCATCTGTTAGCTTCTGCTTATAATTATATAAGCACATGCCTTTCATTTGTAATTAGATTACTTCACTCTTGCACCTTATATGGAAAAGTAGAGACACTTACAAGAAGTCTAAGGCAGATATCACACCACTATTTGAAATGTCTACACAGAAAATATAAACAGGAAAAATATAAAGGCAGAATGAAATAGGATTTGTCACTGATAATATGGAAAATGTGTATCTTTCTTAGGTGTGAAAATATATGTCAAAAGAATAAAAGTCTGGCTAAAAAATAGGATGTCAAAAGACTCTCATCTGAAGCAATCTTATATAATTAGAATTGCTTAATATTTTGATTGTAGAAGAATATTAGTATTGACTTAACATCATATCCACCTGTGAATTTTTAAAGTTAACTGGATTATTATTATTATGAATATTTAAAGTCACTATTTCTCTAAACTGTTCTATTGAGAAAACTCAGTAGAGTAATAGTTTTCTGAGTAAGAGTTGTACTGTTCAGTTCAGTCGCTCAGTCGTGTCTGACTCTTTGCAACCCCATGAATTGCAGCACGCCAGGGCTCCCTGTCCATCACCAACTCCAGGAGCTTACTCAAACTCATGTCCGAGTCAGAGATGCCATCCAGCCATCTCATCCTCTGTTGTCCCTTTCTCCTCCTGCCTCCAATCCCTCCCAGCATCACAGTCTTTTCCAATGAGTCAACTCTTCACATGAGGTGGCCAAAGTACTGGAGTTTCAGCTTCAGCATCAGTCCTTCCAATGAACACCCAGGACTGATCTCCTTAAGGATGGACTGGTTGGATCTCCCTGCAGCTCAAGGGACTCTCAAGAGTCTTCTCCAACACCACAGTTCAAAAGCATCAATTCTTTGGTGCTGAGCTTTCTTCACAGTCCAAATCTCACATCCATACATGACCACTGGAAAAACCATAGCCTTGACCAGACGGACCTTTGTTGGTAAAGTGATGTCTCTGCTTTTCAATATGCTATCTAGGTTGGTCATAACTTTCCTTCCGAGGAGTAAGCGTCTTTTAATTTCATGGCTGCAATCACCACCTGCAGTGATTTTGGAGCCCAAAAAAATAAAGTCTGACACTGTTTCCAATGTTTTCCCATCTATTTCCCAAGAAGTGATGGGACCAGATGCCATGATCTCACTTTTCTGAACGTTGAGCTTTAAGCCAACTTTTTCACTCTCCTTTTTACTTTCATCAAGAGGCTTTCTAGTTCCTCTTCACTTTCTGCCATAAGGGTGGTGTCATCTGCATATCTGAGGTTATTGATATTTCTCC